TGTGCTGGTATTGGTATATTTTGCATGCTAGTGATAGGAATCGATCCCTTGACGTGATTGGTTATTGGTTTGTGACGTAGCAAACCGAGGGCTGTTTCAAACCGTATTTCTGGGACTGACTTTGGGAAACTACAGTTTTAAGGAGAAAATACGCAGCAATGGTGTTGATTAATAGATTGGCACATGCTTTGTCTAAAGGCATATTTAAAACACCATATAGACAAATAAACAACAACAAAAGATTTTCACTACAGGGGGACTTTAAGAGAAAGTCTTCAAATATTTGAGCCTGTGTGTTTCTGTGTGCTGTAACACGGATGGGCGGTTATGAAATTCACAAACTATCATCTTTAAGAGAGATATATACGGGTTTAGTATATATTAGGGATGCATCAGTATGGTTGACTTGTCAACTAATCATCCACCAACCAAGTAAATGAGCAAGTTTTATATTTGTCTTAGTTTTAACGTTTTTCTGGATTGCTAACACACTATAACTGATTCATTTGTCCCAATTTCCCAAATCATTCACTCAGTTCTCGAAACAAAGACACATTTCTCAAAACTTTTAACACATTTCACCTGTTTTCACACACAATTTGCTCAGTATTTTCTGCAAAACTCTACACAAAAAAAAAACTTCATTTTGTACAGGTTTGACCAGTTTCTCATTCAGAAAACACAAACACACAATATAATTACCTCACGCATCACAAAATGAACTCAAACAGCGCACATTTATCCATGTGTGAACATTCAGTAGCAAAACTGATGACACAGCAGTCAGAATCTCAGGATGATATGAACAGGGTCACATGTGATTGTGTGCTTTAGACGATGAATCCTACTGGTGGGAGACAAAGAGGAAGAGGAAGGGGTCAAAGGTCATTTGTTCCTGATGAAATACCCAGCACTATAGCTGACCATGTTCTTTATGACAGGCACATCTACAGGGTTTCTACACTACTTACACACCCAGTATAAGTACAGAACAGCAGCAGTACTTCAGATGAGAGAGCTTTCACTGTGTACTGTAAATACTGCAGCGCATGTTATACACCCTCAGACTCAGGATGAGCTCCTCTCCCTTACGTGATGCCACAACCGATGATAAACGACTGTCTCGGGGAGCTACAGAAGACTGAGAAACTCTCATAGTACGGCAGAGGATGCTGTGTTTATCTATTTTTTACTGTACAGTAATTGACAGTATACAGTATTGTGTGTTCATATTCAATTCTATGTTATTTGAACTTCTCTTTTCTAGTGCTTTTCATCTACTGTAAGATCTCTTTACAGTAGTGTCATGATAATGAACGTTTCTTGAATTTCACTGTATCTGCACCTCTATTTATGCTGCTCACTGTAGCAGACATTGAGTTGCAGAATGATTCCTGATTCCCCAAAGGAGGTTTTTGTAGCAGTGTTTTGAACTGATCTCACTAGTGTTCTCCAGGCAGTGCCAGAGATTACATTCTGATGAGAGAGAACATGTCTGAAGTGTGCACAAGTTGGTGTGTAGTTTTGAGATTGTGTTTATAGTTGTGAGAAAATGGTGAATTGTTTCATGAATTGTGTTAGCAATCGAGAAAAACTGTGATCTCTGTTCACGGTGAGTGTGCATTAGCTTTTGGGATCTCGTAGAGCATTTGGACCTGGAAACGGTGACGTGTGACCTTACCATGAAATCAAAACGGAAAGCTTTCATTTTTAAAAGGAATATTGCAGTGATGATTTCAAATGATTTGTCCATGCACATCTTTATGTTTTTTTAAAATTCACATATAAACTTCAATCAAAACATGAACTTCCCTCCCCATGAACGTCCATAATATGACAATAACTCTACAATAATCCTCCAGCAGCCTGTGACTCACATGAGATCACAGCAGCTAGCAAACCTTCCAATCAACTCCAAGCCATTTCACTCAGATATGCGTCACAACAGGGAAGAAAAGATGATCTGTTTCATGTCAACTTTACCGAGCAGATAAAGCACTGCGACTGCAGCCATCAAAGCACAGATTCACTGCCTTCAACTTAGGGATGGGCGATATATCGATACTGACGCGAGTATCGAAAGTATCGATACTCAAACAATAAATATCGATACTAAGGTGTGTTTTATTTACCAGTGATTTTGTTTATTTAACAAAAAAACAATGCATTGAAATAAGCCCTGAACAATGCTTAACAGAGGACAGAAGAAAAAAAACATATATGTTTGAGTTATTTCACAATAAACAAATTGAAATTAGCCTACATAGTTTGTTACTCTTAGTAATTTAATACATTTCATAATTTAAAAGTTTAGTTCAGAAGTATCGTATAGATAATATTGATCATGTTCTATTCTGTAATGTTAATAGAAATCATACACTGTCAGAATAAAAAGGTTGCATTGTATGCGTGCAACAGCCTGTCACTGGCAGTCCCTTATGAAAATGAACCATGGTTTTACTAAAGTGACCATAGTTTAACTGTAGTATTTATAGATTTGAATCATGTGTAAACAAAAAAACATATTTGAACCATGTGTAAACAAAAATATAACCTAATAAGTTACAATTAAGGCATATTGAATGTCAAAATGCGTTTTAAACAAAGTTAAGTGTTTATCATTACCCATTTTACTCTTAATAATTTTATAATTGAATACATTTCATAATTTAAAAGTTTAGTTCAGAAGTATCGTATCGTATCGATATCGACAATACTGCCTTGAGAAATATCGGTTTGGTATCGAAAACAAAATAAGTGGTATCGCCCATCCCTACTTCAACTACCTCGCTGCTCCTCCATCAGCTGGTCATTCAGTGCGCTCCTGTACAGCTGAGCGTGACACAAGGGCTCGATCTGAAGTCCCTTTGGGTAAAACATCTGCCAAATGTTCACACGACCCACTTGATCGTGTAGTTTCACACATTTCGAATATATGTGCAATGATATAACACAATGTTATATCCAAGATGGCGTCGTTCCATGGCGACATGGTGTTGCTCTCTTCTTAGTGCCAAAAAAGTCGTATATCAGTTGCTTAGATGATTACAGACCAGTGGCCCTAACTTCAGTTGCTATGAAAATCTTTGAGAGACTGCTGCTTAGGTATCTAATTTCTAAAATCTGTTTGGATTATAGATCGGTTGATGATGCTGTGGCTCTGTGTCTCCATTCAATTTTCCAACACCTTCAAGCCCTCAATACTTATGTCAGAGTCCTTTTTGTGGACTATAAATCTGCATTTAATACAATTATTCCAGTTAAACATTTTGATACGTTAAAGCAATTGGGGATTCAACACTCCCTTGCTCTTTGGATTTTGGATTTTTTGCAGAACAGAACACACAAGTAGTTAAAACTAATAATACATTCTCAAGTCTTAAGACAATTAGTGTGGGGGCCCCACAAGGATGTGTACTGTCACCATTATTGTAGTCTGTGTACACTAATGATTGTGTTGCAGATGATACTACATTGATTGGTTTAATAACAGATAATAACGAATCGGACTATAGAAGGGAGGTTTCTACACCGTTTGAATGGAGTTGCACTCATAATCTGAAGACGAATGTCCTAAAAACAAAGGAAATTGTATTTGATTTCTGACAGAGGACAAATGCTGTCTTGCCACTGACTATTAATGGTCAGGACATTGAAAATGTTCAATGTTTTAAGTTTCTCGGGACTACCATCTCTGCAATGTTAAAGTGGAATGACAACCAAAGAGGCATTATTAAAAATCCCATTAAAGGCTTTTTTTCTTAAGACAGCTTAAAAAGTTCAATTTTTATAGAGCTGTCATTGAAAGCGTGCTGACTTTCTCACTTATAGTGTGGTTTGGTAGCTCCACAGCTCAGCAGAGAAGTCAGATTTGTAACATTACTCAGGTTGCTTCGAAAATTATTGATTGTGATCTTCCCACTATTGATGAGATCTATGTCTCACGTTTGCAGAAAAAAGGTCTAACAATCCTGAAAGATCCCTTACATCCAGCCAGACACCTCTTTACGCCTCTTCCTTCAGGCAGACGCCTCCGAGCAATTAAAACTAAGTCTACACGTTTTCTGAACAGTACTTATTGTAGGATTGTTCATGCTCTTAATTCCTCTGGTGTCTATGCATCTGCATTTCACTCCTTATAACTGATAGGACATACATGTATGTTTGCATTTATGTATGTATTTTAATGTATGTTGCTCACCAAGCAAATTCCAAACAACTAGGGTGTTTGGCCATAAATAAATGTATTAATGTATCTCACCTTTCGCAGCCGGCCCCAGTTGGTCCCCAGGAACACGACGGTGCGGTTGTGGACGTTGTCAACAGCAATAGAGCTGAGGCCCGGGGCCTCATAGATGGGTGGGGCCCTCAGGGGCTTCCTCAGGGCCAGTGGGTGCTGGAGGTGAGCGGCCCCACAGTTCAGCTGCTCCTCCTGAAGCTGAAACACAGAACACGCAGACGTGAGGGACATGACCACGGTTTTATTCTAGTCTCTAGGGTGCTCTTTGTGCTTGCTCAGTGAAGGCAAAAGAGTCTGTGATATTCTCATCTCTAGATGTGGCTCTTATGATGTTTCTATCCATTCATTTACACCCGTTTATATCATTTATTCCCATTCTGTGCTACAGTCTCGCAGGACGGGTCTGATTACTGAGGGTCAGGGGTTATTCAGATCCCTAAATGCCTGTCAAAGTAAACACCACTAATAAGAGAATGATCCAAACTGATGAGCGATGCGGCTGTCTTTAGCGTTTAACACGCTGATGAATGTATTGTTGAATCAGACGGGTTCTGCTGCCACATTCATACGTCTGTTTTCATGAGGTTCAGGGCAGGGTGATTGGAACTCAAGCGGGGGAGAGCAAGAATTTCTCACGAGTTTCTCCCCCTCAGCGCTGTGACCTCCTGCGCTCCTGCAATCTATCAGATCCGCCACAGACACTGATGCGAACACTGGAGCGCTGCTCAAAACCGAAACACGGCCGTGATGTGACGTCATTAGACTCTGAGCAATGAAAACACGGCTGGAGGAGGCCTGAGAGTGGCCTGAGTTACGTAAAAAGAGCTGCACGAGAACAAAGGCAACAGCACAAAAGCTACGCTAAATAATCACCAGACTGCCACATGCTTCTTATAAAACGTAATGTTCACATAATAAAAACAGCATGTTTCCAGAAACCAGCTGCTCCAGGATCTGCTCCGTGGCCGCTTGCTGCAAAAGCTAAAGATTTTTCATATTAGGTGAAATTCCCATCAGATGTACATGTGACATCTGAGCTGTACAGTATTATCAGCCATACATTAAAACAAGCCGGATTACGCTGATCTGAACCGCAGTCTGTCATGAGGCTGGAAACAGACTGTAATACAATCACACACTCACCAAATTCACTTCTATAGCTGCTAAAACAGTGAGACGATCCAAAAGACATTCGCCACAGCAGTCAAAGCTTTTCATTCTGCTCTACACATCATAATGATGCACAATATCAGTGTCACAGTGATTTAATAGAGTGCTGTTTACTCTAGTATTACTTCACAGTCATAATTCATAGATCACTAGTCGTGTACATGTTGAACAGGGTGAACTATACAAAAGTAGGAGTTTTAGTAGATTTGAGATGAAGCACTAATGAAAGCCACTGAGATTATTATGATGTCCTCCTAAATGTAAAACAATGTGTGTTTTATTTGACAGATGTGGATAGTGTTTTGAAGATTACAGCAAATATGCCGGCTGCAATCTGAATACCACTATAATTTTGCAGAATTAAGTTTATAACCCAAATAAAAATGACCAGAAGCTAGTTTTAGTTGCATTTTCCGAAACTCCACACAATGTCCTGGGCATAAAACAATCGATATGATCGAGTTATTATTTATGTCAGGTAAACAAAAACAGTTTCTCAATGGCATTTGTGGCATTATTCATTCTTTTTTTTTTTTTTTGACTAACTCTTGATATTTAAAGGGCATTCAATCGTGACATTTACGTTCAAATCCACAAGAAAGGAAGTTTTATTTGATGTGCTGTAACTGGCCGCTATTTGTAGTCTCCTTTTTACTCTCGACAGTTACAATGTTAAAGTGGCACTGCAATTCATTTTTAAAGGTGCAAATATTCCAGGCATTCTCGTAATATAATTATGCTCATTGTTGGTTAATGCATTGATAGCTTTAAATGACGTGTCTTCATAATCTGAGTTCAGGCGTGAAGTTTCATCTTCGTTTTATCACTACCAAGTCATGAAAGTTGTTGTACGAGTTGCGCGCTCTCACCTTGATGGCCCCCTTGCGCTCGCACTCGGCCCCGGAGCCCTGGATGACGCTGTCCAGCACCTGCACGTCGCTGTTCGGCCCGCTGGAGCAGTTGCGGCGGCCCTGGCGGATCATCTCCTCCACAGCCGCCACGCGGAAGGCGCACACGGCCGACTGACCGCCCGCCTGCGCGAACACCCCGAACAGATAGGGCTCCGGGCCCGCCGCGCGCTGCGCGCTGATGTCCACGGGGTAGATGGAGAGCAGGCGGTTGTAGATATTCCCGTTGGATCCGCACTGAATGCCCATCTGGATGTAGGACTCGGTGAGTTTGCGGCTCTCCGCGGACCTGCGGGGATCGTCCGTGTCCAGACAGATGCGCGCCAGGATGCTGTTGGGCTGGCTCTCCTTCAGACCCGTGTTGGCGTCGTTGTTGATGGCGATGTACGAGTAGTTCTTGTGAACGAAGGCGTGCACGAAGTTGAGCTTGTTCTTCTGCTTGACTTCTTGCTTGATCTTGAACACGTTGTCCTCGGACGGGTTGATGTCGTAGGTGAAGAGCCGACCGAGGTCTTTGGTGTTGAGCGAGCGGATGGCGATCTCGGGCGTGTTCTCGAAGCGCAGGTCCTCTTTGCTGTGGTTCTTGGGGAAATACTCGGTCCCCATGCCCGTGTACGTGGCTCCCACCAGCAGCCGCGGCGCGCCGCCGTGACTCCGAAAGACGAGCCCGACGGTGCTCGCCTTCTCGTGGTTGGCCACAATGTTGAGCATGCTCGGGAACACGGTGGCGCCGTCCTGCGGGAACCTGACGGCCAGCCGCGACGCGTCGTCCATGGCGCGCAGCTCGCAGAAGCCCTGGAACACCGATCCGCAGGCCAGCAGCACGCCCTGCGCGCGGTCCAGCGTCAGCAGCTTGTTGTGGTTGTCGGTGAGCGTCTTCTGGTGCTCGCACGTCGCCTGCGGCAGCTGCGGCGCGTGGCACAGCGGGTTGTCCAGCACCGGTCCCGTGCGCGTCTCCACCTCCCGAGTTGCGCGCTCTCACCTTGATGGCCCCCTTGCGCTCGCACTCGGCCCCGGAGCCCTGGATGACGCTGTCCAGCACCTGCACGTCGCTGTTCGGCCCGCTGGAGCAGTTGCGGCGGCCCTGGCGGATCATCTCCTCCACAGCCGCCACGCGGAAGGCGCACACGGCCGACTGACCGCCCGCCTGCGCGAACACCCCGAACAGATAGGGCTCCGGGCCCGCCGCGCGCTGCGCGCTGATGTCCACGGGGTAGATGGAGAGCAGGCGGTTGTAGATATTCCCGTTGGATCCGCACTGAATGCCCATCTGGATGTAGGACTCGGTGAGTTTGCGGCTCTCCGCGGACCTGCGGGGATCGTCCGTGTCCAGACAGATGCGCGCCAGGATGCTGTTGGGCTGGCTCTCCTTCAGACCCGTGTTGGCGTCGTTGTTGATGGCGATGTACGAGTAGTTCTTGTGAACGAAGGCGTGCACGAAGTTGAGCTTGTTCTTCTGCTTGACTTCTTGCTTGATCTTGAACACGTTGTCCTCGGACGGGTTGATGTCGTAGGTGAAGAGCCGACCGAGGTCTTTGGTGTTGAGCGAGCGGATGGCGATCTCGGGCGTGTTCTCGAAGCGCAGGTCCTCTTTGCTGTGGTTCTTGGGGAAATACTCGGTCCCCATGCCCGTGTACGTGGCTCCCACCAGCAGCCGCGGCGCGCCGCCGTGACTCCGAAAGACGAGCCCGACGGTGCTCGCCTTCTCGTGGTTGGCCACAATGTTGAGCATGCTCGGGAACACGGTGGCCCCGTCCTGCGGGAACTTGACGGCCACCCGGGACACGTTGTCCATGCTGCGCAGCTCGCAGAAGCCCTGGTACACCGAGCCGCAGGCCAGCAGCACGCCCTGCTCGCGGTCCAGCGCAAGGAGCTTGTTGTGGTTGTCGGTGAGCGTCTTCTGGTGCTCGCACGTCGCCTGGGGCAGCTGCGGCGCGTGGCACAGCGGGTTGTCCAGCACCGGTCCCGTGCGCGTCTCCACCTCCCAGGCGAGCGTGGCGTTCAGCTGGTACAGGCTGTTGACCGCGGCCAGGTAAACGCGACGCGACACCGCGTCCACAACGAAGTTATTGGTGCGGGTGGGAGACGCGAACGCCTGTTGAATCTGGAGCGCGGCGGCCGTGCGCGTTTGGAGAGCCGTTAGAAACACGGCGAAAACCGTCGCTAAGAGCCCGAGAGAGGATCTGTTCGCTGGAGAAGGAGGCATTTTTCCTTCTGGCTGGCTTCCGCGGGTTCTGGACGGAGAGGCGCATTGAGCCAGCGGAAAAGAGCGCAACTATCCGGGAGGAAAGACCGTTTCCTGCCGACCGCCCGAGCACCGAATGACGTGACGAGGCGCCTCCGCTTCCTCATAGAAACTCTCGCAGCTCTGGGCGCTCACCGTCTCTCTGGAGATCTGTCCGTGTGATAGCCTCAGCATTACGTCTGATAATTACCCGTGAAAAAGAAAATATAGAATATACTTTAGAGAATATACCGCGACAGGACTATAAATTTTTTTTTTAATTAAAAAAAAAAAAAAACACTAGCTTTCTATTTTTTCTATTCTATCTG